CATTTCATTTTCATGTCACCTTCTATTACAAGAAAAGTACTGCAAATGCAATCAAAGCAATGTCACTAAAGAAGAGCCCTCAAGCAGAAACTGAGGGAGTTTTGTCTTTGCAGTATAAAACATGGGAAAATACATGAGCCTTTCAGCGAAGGAACAGGGAACAAGCAGAAGAGCAGGTTGGTGTATCCAGCATTTTAGATTTCCAGAGGATTCCTGCACCAACCATTGCCCATTTTTCATTCAGTTTCTGATCTCTTACCCCTTCTGTCTCCCCTCTCTCTCTCTGTCAAATTTCTTTCTTTCCAGTGGAGACAACTTCAAGGAAATTTCAAGATCATCTTCAGGAATGTCCTGTGTCAATTGCCAGCTATTTAGAGCTATTCTACAAAAAGTACTACTTAGCCTTTGTTATAAAAAGTTTATCCGATTATAGCAATATCTGCAGCAAAAAAGCCCTGTAATTGTTACTAACTGGAATGTGATACAGATGAACCATATCAGTTTATTTGAATGTCCAGAAAATTATTCATACCCTTTTTAGAAAATTATTCATACCCTTTTTTTAAACTGCAGTTTTGGTGAAAAATAACAGCTATGAACTTGAAATAGATACAATTCTGTCCCATATTTTTCTTCATTTCAAAGCCGTCTTTGCAAGACAAGTTACAAGCTTGTTTTCAGTATCTTTACAGTGATTATTTCTTACACACATATTATGAGCTCCCAAGCCTGAAAAGCCCATTTCAGTTTATAAATTCAGTATGCTGTACTTGTCCACTAGTAAATAAATATAAAAGAATATTCAATTCGGCATTACCACATATCCTTTGTAATCTTTCCAGGGAGGACATATGCAATATGAAAGATTTATATGGATAGTTTCACATAGTATCATGCTTTTCTTGGCATTACACTTTTTGATAGCTTGGGTATGCAACATCACTATAGCCTAGAAGTTTTTTTTCATCTGGAGCTCTGCTACAGCTCTGTCTATCATATAAACAAGGAATTCGCATGGCTCTCTTCAAACAAAATATGCTTACTCTGAAGGTCTTTCTAGCTCCGACTGTGATTGAACAGCATTCTTCTATAACTTCCTGTGTTACTTCACTTCATCCTAACATTTCATTTCCTTTGTCATGATTTGCATGGTGCGGAATGAGAGGGGAAAAGCAAAGTAAGCTGTCCTTTCTCAGTGTCAGGCCTGCTTGCTTCCTCCTTCCCAGTACACATCCAGAACCTAAACCATGGTTTGAACAGGTGTCAGCAGCCATATGGCAAGAGACAGACAAGTCTGACCTGAAGTCTGTGGTCAGACTTATTTTTTACAATGACGGTGTGCTACATTTTTAGCAGGAACAGTTTTTCAGAGTTCATCTGTTCTGTCAAACCAGAGCATTGCTGATTTTCGGTCGGAGTCCTAGACACCGATAGACTTCATTGCTTAGGCACCAAAGTGTGCTGGAGTGCACCTCGGGCCCCCTTTCTAAGAACCTGTGCAGGCAGAGGTGCTCCACATCACACACAGTTGCATCCCAATGCTGCCTACAAACAGGGCACTGTAACAGTGGAGCTGAAACCATGGCATTTGGACCAGCTAAACATCTGAAAAGGAACTGAGTTATGGTGAGTACGTTTAGTGTTTTGGGAGTGGGGAGCAAGGGTTTGTGACTCTCTGCTTAGATTTGGGAAATCTGATAATGATGGGCAAGTTCTAGCCAAAGGCAAAGGTAGGACATAACACTCTTGAGGAGAAAGGGAGCCTTTCAGAAAAACTCACCCCTTCCCTATCCATCTGCTCCCCATTTCTCCTGGACAAAGGGGACTTTTGAACTGCCCATGGGAGGAGCCATTCTCTATGCTGGGGAGAAGCAGTGGTAGGTACAGCAGGTTGGCTGGCAAGTCTACCTGGTAGCAAGCTGTGCCACCGCCAGGTTCCTGCTGTGACTGACTACGGTGCTAGAAGGCATTTCTTTCTCAAGAATCATAGACTTTCCCAGGCATCTGCAGGTGACTTGTGCACGCCAACCCCCCCCCCCAGCCTGGATTAGCTGCCATGGCAGCATGTTCAAGTGGTTCTATGCAACGGCTGAATGCAAACACACTATTCAGATTGGTAAACAATCACCTGGCAGGTCCCTGTTATGATTACATGGCGTGATCTGGTCGTGATCAGGCCCTCCCCACCCTAGCTACACATCCTGCCAGGCACCTCCCCCTTCTGGCCTTGGCTTGAGTCATGGGCTTGTTGGGGCACAAGTTAGCATCCTTCCCCCTGGGAATTTTCTACATGTGGTTCTGGTCACATTCTGGTTGCTTCACCTCCTCATTGCTACCTCACTAGTAAAACAGGGTATGGCTCTGCAAAGCAGCAGGTAACTCTAAGAAGGGGAGGTGGGTTTCCTGGCTACCCACAGGGACAGTAGGACAAGTTAGCAACTGCTGCTTTCTTTGATGTGTAAGCGATCTCAGGCAAAGGGACAATAGCAGGATTATATGCCAGGTTTGAGTAAGGGCCATGTCTGACCCAGTTTTGTCCTAGCTCCTCATGCCACCAGGTCCTTGGCAAAGCACTCCATTAGTATGGATCACAAATGTGTATCCTCTGAGAATAAGGAAGTTTAGGAAGGGAGTGGTGTTGGTAACTCCCTGTGTGGACACTGACACACTTGCTAGGATTGTATGATCTGTAGCCCAAGGACAGGATTATCTGCAGGACGGGTAGGTAACTTGATGTTACAAATGTTTCTCTGGGCTGTCAGGAAGAGAGTGCCACACTATGTGTGGCAAAGAGGGCAGAATACCTGGACAGAAGAAGGTGAACGTGGTTAGTATAACTGGCCATGGCACCTGAGCCGCTTGAGAAAACACAGAAGCACCCTTTGCAGGCACCCTGTGTTGGCTTGTTAACTTGGCTGTGGGTGACGGGTAAAATGTGACAGCAGGTTCCTCAATTTTTCTGCAAAGAGTAATGTTTAACACTAGATTTGCATTGTGCACACATATGCTTCATCCATGTCCAGGCACTGCAATAACTAGCAAAGACTTCTGGCCATGTCAGGTCTGAAGTGCTGTGCGGTTGGTGCTAGCCTTGCTTATCCATGCCAGGCACTCTACAGTAAAGTGAGACTGGTTTGGACTATACCTGAAGGTTGGTCTACAGAGAGAAGCAGGCTTACTCTTGTGCATAGGTATGGGTCAGGTGAGGCATGCTAGATCCACCCCCCTTTGCTTACCCATCTGATGTAGATGGAGGGTGGCCCTATAGCGGTCTGGCTGTCCTTCAGTTTCAGAATGGAGTCTGAAGGACAACAAAAAAAAAGATAACTAGATTATTTAGAGCACACTGCGATGATCACAGGAGTTACCCAAGGCAGCAGAATTTACTGAACTTTGCACAGTATAAAAGCTTCTGGTTGTAGGTCACCTGTGGGATAGTTCACAGTGCTCCTTCCAAAACTTTTCCAAGACCAGGGCACTGGACTGGGTCTGGCAAATGGTATTTGCATCTGTGTGCTGTTAACAGAGATAGAGTGGGTACAGCCAGAGTAATCAGTTTAATTAAATGCTTTGTATCTATAATTTGTCTGATTTTAGAGCATATTAAATTGAAATTAAGCTTCTAATATATTATTACAGGAACATATTCTGTTTCCTTTATGTCCATTATAGCTGTGATTAATATATTCAAAAGTATACATTACACTGCCACAATAATGAACAGAACTAAATGAGTATAAATATCTGCAGTAAAATACAATGAAGTCCTGCAGTGCAATGGTAATGTTAGTCATTTTTGCATGAATAAATTAAGGTAGAGTGTGAAATTCTGTAACTGCTATGAACCAAAGTCTCCAGCGGGCATGGAGCTTCAAGTCTTTGTGGAACTAGTCTGTTGTAAATATCTATTGCTACTAATTTAATGCTTAGTCACAGAATAAAACCTTTTATTCTTCTGGGTTATTCTTTATCTCCACTGTGTTCCATTTACTTTTTTTTTTTTTTTCCTGGAAATGAAAGTTTGAGATTTGATTCTGATGGGGTCAGTTTTAGATGTAAAAATCAACATAGAAGCACTTTTTTCTAATCTCTTGCAACAACTGATTCAGCGCTTGTGGCTGCTGGCTGAGAAGCCTCTGCTGAAATTTATGGGCCGGATTCACTGACTTTTTAAGACCAGAGAAAAGTATCGTTTGGTCTCAGCTCCTTCATAGCACAGACCATAACTGCAACTGAATTAGAGCATATTTTAAAGAACAATAAAATTTTGTTTGCGTAGAAAATTTCACATGCTTTGGTAAGCTATTCTAAAGATCAAATATTGTTATATTTAAATATCTGCACCTTGTTTCCCTTCCCAGTTACCTAGTTTGATCATTTTTATCCACTGTGTCTCTTAAGATGAGGAAGTGGTGGAGTTTTCCCTTCAATATATACAGGATAACAATCCATCCAGAACCCCATGAATGTGTCAGTAAGTCTGCATAAAATATGGGTGGAAGCTCATGTTGGGAAAATATAGGTTGGCTTTTATTTTCAAAGAGACAAAAAAAAGTAAGAATGTTTTGGGTTAATTCCTAGTATCTTTTATATAAAGAAAATGAATTTGTTTCTTCAACCAGTTAAATAAACTCTTCTAAGTTTTTTTCATTTAAAACAGTTTTCAATTACTCATTAGAAGTGCTACAGAAAAGGCTTAAACCTTCATTTTGAAAATGCCTTAATGAAATAATTGAAGCAATTCTGAAAGTCATTTAGCAAATGTTGAAATGAAATATTCTTATAACTTCAAAATTCTCCGCATTCCTACTGATCTTCTTTGTTTTCAGATACATTTGCCACGTTGCACTAATATTTGTGATTTTCTTGGTTCTTCTGAAATACTACTTCACATCAAATGAATTGATTACTGAAATAAAAAAGTCAGTAACCTATAATCGTTATTTTCTTGACTACTAGACTAAAGAGTCCAGTATTTAGATAGTTAAATCCAAATCGTCGAGAGCATAAACAGGTCAGCTGTTGCTATGTTTCTGATGTACACTGGAGAAGTAAAAAGGAAAGGGTTAAACAGGATTTCCAGACTTCTGCCCAAGCTTGCAACTCTTTCCAAAGTCATTATGATTTAAAATGCAAATTCTGAAAGGGTATACAGATTTTCTAGTACTTTCATTAGCAAACATGAGTTTCAAAGTATTAGCAGTGTCATTACAGTGAATGATATTTGTAAAATTGGAAAATCATTTAGTTTGGAAGGGATCTCTAGACCTTGTCTGAAACAGCATCCTGCTCAAAGCAGGGCCTGCTAGAGCGGATAACTACAGGTAATTCCCTACCTGTGCAAAGATTACCTTAAACCATCACACTGGAACTTGTATTCAGGTGTTATCTGCCATGAACCTTGATCCCTTTTCTGTGTCACCTCTTGCCAGGTAAGCAAGTGGCACTAAAAAAAACAATGGTTTAGCTTTGTTGACATTTCATGTGCATTTTCCAGTCTTCCCAACAGATCCCCAGTGCATAAAATGGCATGAACTCCAATGCATTACTAAATGTACTATTAGGAATTCCTTTGACATGAAGGAATCCTGCGGTGTGCCAAAGGCAACTTTGTTTCTCTCCTTGCTGTCCCTGCCACAGGGACTTGTCAAGATTATTTTTGGGAATGAAACTAGGAGTGTCATTCACTCCATGATCAGTGGTGGTTTGCAAGATCTGCAATTTTGCTGCTTTTATTGAAGACTTCTAGCTTGTTCTGGGGCTTGCTTTGACCTCAGGTAGCTTCTGGAAGAAGGGGAAGCCACTGGTTGCTGCCTCCCAGGGGGTGCCTGGAACAATGCCAGGAAGTCTCCTTAACCGAGTCATTTGTACACCTTTAGATCCCCTTTAATCCAGGCTTAGTAGACTGAAGAATTCAACCTGACAAATACTGCTGTGACAGTAGGTCATGGAGAGAGCCCTGCTGTCAGGCTACGGGGGCTGCAAGGAAAAATTGTTTGAACTTAAAAATATACAGTTGCCTGCATCTCAGGTGAAGTGTTCTCAAAACCAGCTACTGAGCATTTTGTACTGCTGGGAGGATGTAAGACTTCTTGGATAGAAACCATAAGTAGGAGCGAAAAGGTCACATTTCTACTTGTGTTTGAAAAGTCCTCTTATGAAAGGAATCTACACATTCTTCTAGGGATCCAGAGACAGTAGGAAACATTTCTTACTATTTACCTTGCCAGTTATGAGGGGGGAGACATAAATTCCTGGGCTAACCACTTTTTTGACATATAGAAGAACATTGTCCTATTTAGAGTTCAAATAAGGTTTTAGTTAAGCTCATTTCTGTTAGTGTACTTCTGTGCTACCGTCTTCAGCAGGTTATGCTTGAGCCAGATTTTTTTCCATTTTTTCTTTTTTAAGGCTTTCACTGTTTCTATTTTTGAAAATAAAGTTGTGAAAACTATGTCAATGTCAAATACTGGGTAAAAACTGCTAGAGGTGACAGGATCAGAATGTGGTTTTACAGGCTTGTATAATTTTTGAAAGTGATTAAAAAGCAAGAATAGAAATTCCTTACGTGATAAGTTAATACTTTAAAAAAGTAGGTTTTCTTTGTTCAGCATAGATCCTTGAAGGTCTTAAGCAATCCCACCAGAAACCCGGTTTTATTAGCATTTTAAAAGAAATAGTTGTGGAAAAGATTATTAAAAATTTGTTTGAGGAACTTTGGAACATTGCTTTACTTTACTCATCCACAGTATCATCTCACCTTTTAAAAGGAGAATTTTGCCAAAATTGGCTGAATTTTATGATAGCAATGGTCTCATGTGGTCAGCTGCAAGCTGATGGCTATTGGTACTGTTAAAATACTTAACATGCAGCATTAAGTCATTACTCTTCTGTAATATGTAGACCTATCTAGGAATTTGTTAACAGTCCTGGTCTTAAACCCTGGATTTGACAATCAGAGTCTTTTGGTCTCTGTTATGACAAGTGAAACTACCATTTTCATTTTCAGCAAAATGGGATTTTATTTACAGCAATAGTAGGTCCTCTCACATTACATTACTTTGTGCTGACTTTCCCTAGTACTAACTTCTGCGCTATCTGCTGACTGCCAACATATTAAAGGGCAATAGCAGCAAGCACTCACAGAGCCCTCAGTGTACATGGAGGGACCGAGGAAATCTTTACAGTTGAGTAGTTCTTCAGGATGGTATTTCTGCTAGCTGGACCATCAATTTATTTTCAAAATGTACCATCTAAGAAAAATTTACTGTTTTAAAAGTGTATTGAAAGTGACATCATCTCACTTAAAAATATTAATTGTGGGGAGAAGCAAGAGATTTTGAGCAGCTGAACCACCTTACTTCAAAATCCCCATAATTACATTTTCAGCAATAAGAAATATTCCTGTAAATGAATGCTTTGTCCTATCTCTGAGTAATTTTCAATGTTGCTTGTGTCACATATCAGAAAGGCTTACTCATCAGAATTATGCACCATTTAAAATGCTGAGGAAGCACTACTGAGTTTTGCAGCACTTCCCAGCCAGGCTGCATTTAGATCTGGGTTTATCCCTTTTAATGCCAGGCCTGGACCTATTTCTTCAGCCTCAGGAAGTACGTATTGGAGGACTTAAATTAGAAAACAAGAAAGAGATTTAAAGGGCTTATGTTTCAAAGAAATAAATTGAAAATTGTGTATCCATATCAAGGTAGCACTCTATCTGTAGTACTAACAGTCAAGGAATCTGAATGAAATGGAGTGAAAATGCTCAATTAGATTACAGCATAAAAATAAACAGACACTCTGAACTGAATTAAACTACTGACATTTATCTGAAAATGTAAAGGGCTTTAAAAATAGTATATACATTAATGAAATGCCCTAAGATGATCATGCTTAAATCCCCTCAACCCCTCCCCCCCGATTTATATACTTCTGGAAGATTTATTAAAAATGCACTTACAAAACAAGATTGAAGAAGATGACTGTGGTATTTTTGAAAACTATCAAGAACCAAGGTGAAATCTCACCTGGCACAGGAGAATGTATAGCAGTCATTTGACGGATTACATTTATTTAAATGATAAACTAGAGTATTACTGACTTAACCTTTCAAGTTTCTGTTGCATCTTGTAACTTTGGAAGTGAAAAAAATCAGTAGTGATTTTCTTATTGATTTACTCAGAAATATGAAAGCTATATTAAGGTCTTGATTTTTCTGAGATTTATGAAAGCTGAAGTAGAGAATCTTGTTTTCAGAGTATTCTCACTTTAACTATAAGAGTAAATGAAAGAGAACATAGTAACCACTCAGTGAAAAAAAAAAATCAAACCAAAAAGAATGCGTACTTCCCTTAGGACTCCTTACTCCTAAGGGAATGCACCGCACAATAGAACACAGAGTGATCTGACAGTAGGTTGATGTTTTTTTTCTGGATAGGCTTGTGCCCTGTTTTATACATGTATTGATATTTTTTTAAATCTGGCCCTAAGCAATTTGTTGATTCTACGTAGCAATTTAATGGCAAGACTAATAACATGCTTCTGTACCGTGACCGGTGATTGTAACTCCCGCAGAGTGCTCTTGAAAGAAATTTTAAAAGCCTGAGGCAGATATCAGCAATTCATGTGACATGCAAAGGTGTAGCAAATGCCAGAGAATGTGGTTACCTCCCCTGAGAAAGGGTTTTGTGGCAGCTGACAGAAGAGTTAATTTTTTTAATTGTTTGTCCACAGTGGGTTGCATATTGCAATGTAAGATGGGGAAACCATGTAAGTGTCTGGTCAAGAGTCCTTCCTATAGCTGTATTCTAGATGTAGGTTTGCCTCAGCCCTGCTGGGGATTACTTGCCACTCATTTCTTGCATTTTATTGTGTTAATGGACCATATACATGCGCGATGGGAGAAATTTAGATCCTGGTGGAGTTAACAGCAAACATACCACTGACTAAACAGGAAACTTAGTTGAACCCAGTGAAGACTAAAAGGACATAGATGGATTCTTGTGGGGTGTTTCTCAGCAAAAAAATTACCTGCCCTGCAGCTGGCAAGCCTCTGAAAAAAGGCAACCATTAGCTATCCCATCAACTCTAAGTATTCCAGGTAATGTATCTAACTGGAACTAGAAATTTACTGTTACTTTTCTTTTTCAAGCAAAGCTGAAATGACGCTTTCAGAAAAGTGAAAATAAATGTTCTTTTTGTAAGGCAAAAAGCAAAATCAACTTGTCAGCTTTCCAAATGCAATCTGTGTGATTAATGTGTCTCGAAATACAGACATTTCTATAAAATATTAATTACTTCACTTCTGGACTGTATTGAATTACATTTAGCAGGGTTTTTTAAAATCCATGTATTTTAGTAAATAATGTTTATTAAATCTTTTGATAATAGAAACCACTTCCTATGTATAATTTTACTCTTTTTGTTAAAAAGTCTATCTTGGTTGCCAGGTACAACAGAAGTCCAAGGAGCTTTCCTAGGAGCAGAGATGACTTTTGTGAGCAAGAATCTGAGGAATGTGCATATTTTTCCTTACAGCTATAGTGCCCAAAATTTCAGACATGTGAATGTTGAAGAGTGGCTGATTTATTTTTTTTTTTTAAAAGAATATTTTGCTTTTTTAACAAGATAGCATCATTGCCACTTTTCTAATTTAAATGACTTACATAGACAAATCTATATGAAAGTTATGAATACAGCTCAAATGCTTGATTTACCTCAAAATATCCAGAATGACTGGAATGTGTTTAATTAATTTTTTTCAATTTTTTTTTTTTCTAAAATGAAAAATTCCCCTAATGGCAAAAGTAATTTGGTGCCATATTAGTTTTTTGATGTAATAAGGTGTACAGTTCATAAATGCATCTATCACTTAGCAAGATTTTCTGTTTTCCTTTCAGTCTTACTAAGATGAAATTTAAAGAAGGATTATAAGAGTAAAAAATTATAATAATGCTATCTACTGTTTAATAAACACCATATTTTCTCTTATTCATGTGTTCAAAGATAGAGAGGAGTGCCATACCTCTTTCATGTGCACAACAGATTCACTGTCAGAAGAGGAAGAAGTTGGCAGGCTCATGAATAACGCTAAAGGAGGAGAGCAGCTGTTAAGTAACAAAACCTTCCTAGCAGAGCCTTTCAGCCAGTTGCTGTACCATTTGACGTAGCACTCATGAGAGTGTGCACACACGTGTGTAACTGGAAAGGCAGAAATGTAGAAAAAATATCACTGTGGAAGCACTGATTGTCATATTAACTAGGTAAACATGTCATTTTTAGAAGAGTATTTTAAGATTTTAGATATGAAAGAAATACCTGAAAGCAACCTCTCCTCTGACTCTTATTTTGTCAGTACGGCGTATCTACACAGGCACTCTGGTACTATTTGTTTCTGCAGTACCCAGTCAGGTAAATTATGGTTTTTGGACAGTCAATAGAATTGTGCCATTAATACCAAGCAGATAAAAAATTTATCCCATGACTTTCCTCAGTGCTACCAATAAACAAACAAACAAATAAATAGAAAATCATGCAATTGGACAGTGTACAAATTACCGAGGAAGAAACAATAAGAACTGAGAAAATCACCAAGAAAAAGTGCGCCTGAAAAACAGTGAAGAACGGCTTTCAGACACCAAATGAGAAAAATGCCTATGTTGTTCTTTACTGGGACAGTTCCCATAAATGTAAATGCACATAAGTTTTTCCTGCTCAGTAGAGTAGTTCTCTTGACTGCAAAGTCTATATGTAGAGAATGGGAAGAATAGGCTTGGTATCCTGAATTCATACCGCTGAGTGAAAGGAGAGAATTGCATATCTATTCAAGGCAATTAGCATCTATTATGAAAACATGACTGTTCTGTGCTATTCACACAGATTAAAGAGCCACATACACTTCTGGTGAAGAAATAGAACACAAGAACAATAGGTTTCTAGAAGATATATTCCATACTTGTATTTGTTTGCTGTTGTCCGGGGCACCAAATCACATTTTTCACACCACGGATTTAGAGATCCCAAGGTGGTTTTTTTTTTTATCTTTCTTCCAAATTTGGGCTCTTATACTTAATGGCAGTAATTACCTTAAAGAAGAGAGGTATACAACATAATGTCAAAAATTCCACTACATTAATAAATTTAGATTTGTATTTAAATGTGTTCATAAGAATCTGTTAACTCATTATACAATGACAACAAAAGACCTTTCTCCTGTTTATTGTAGGTGCATAATAACTTGGGCTTTTATTTGAAAACACCTTTTAAAACATGTTTGCTCAACTGACTATTTTAATGAATATGTGTTTTAACATGTGATTTAGATGTAAAGTATTCAGCATAGTCATATAGAACCCATTTCAGATCATAGTTCAGAATCCAAGTTTTGGGAGTAAATATTCCTAATGTTTTGTTAACTTACTCAGGGCTTGGGCTGAATTCTCCTAATGCAGTCTCATCTGACTGTATACTGGATTCATACTACTGGGCAAAAGAACAGAACTGTGTATCTATTGAAGGCAATTAGCACCTATGATGAAAATAATGGCTGTTCTTTGTTCCTCAGGCTGAAAAAAAAGAGACACATACACTTTTGATGAAAAAACAGAACACATACCCACAAACCGTAGATTTCCAGAGCTGATATTTGTTTGCCTTTGCCCAGGATTCTGACATATATACTAAACAGAAGCTTATTCAGCCTCTCCAATCTGACAGTCATCTCCAGTATACTTCTTTCCTAGGTCTCCCTTTACATCTAGGGAGTGAGGACACAGGGAGGTACAGCCCTATAATTGTAAATTATTGTGAAAGTATTGCAGCCTACAATCAACTTCTTGGTAGCTGGTGAAGATTCTTTAATTCTATTAGATTTGCTCTTCAAGATAATTTTGAATTAAGAATAATATTTTCACAAGGATAGTTTCAGTAGTAAAAGTCAATATGATCAATGGTGTCGTCACTTTCTAATTGTAATCTGTTGGTAAAATGAATACCTGCCTTGCTCCTTTCCATAGAGTTTGTTGACTTTAAATCTCCTCAAATATTTGCAATTTGGAGGAAACGGTTCTTATTTTATTATCTTGTGATATTAAAAAAAAAAAGCCAGTCTTTGATAACTTTTTATTAGAGAAGGAAAGGTGCTTGCCTTATAAGTAAGACTGCTTTGAAACACAATGCTTAGTATTGTTTCTTTAGAAACATAATATTTTGCATATTTTCCTTGTAACATCTAAACTGTTAGTATCTGATACTACAACTTGGTTACTGAAATCACCTTGATATGTTTGGAATTTGACCAGTAATATTGTAGTCAAATGAAGCGATGTATTATTCATGCTTAGTTAGGTCAGCTGAACACATTTCAGCATTACCATGTTTGCAATCATCTTGACTAGCATCATAATATTTTCCATCACCTCTCCCGAGGCACATTTGTCACCTTTTTTTTTTTTCCCCCTTTTAGAAATGCTCTATTATAGCTGTAAAGCAAACAGGCAACTGAAATCCACCCATTTCCTAAAGCTCTGTTATCCCTGAGGTATCAGAAACAAAAACGTATCAATACTAATTACTTAGCAGAAAGCTAAGAAAGAAAACCTTCTTACTCCCAACTCTCCTCCCCTTAATCCTACAACCAATCTGCCCCTATACAGAAAAGCCTGAGTTGTCTGAAAGCACACAGGGAGACATGATGATTGCAAAAGCAAGCCTCCTTTATGACCTTGACCCCAGAAGTCTTTTCTGGTATCTCCTCCTCGCAGCCCTCTTCTTGTTCACCTGTGATAAGTCTAATCTCTTCGCAGCAGCCCTCAATGCTTCACTCACTGATTTCAACAAGCAAGTACGCAATAGAAGGTGTGTTGTTTATAAAAATCTATCCTCCTCTCCCTTCATCAGACTGATGTCTGTACTGAAATGAAGTATCATCAGCAAATCCATAGGAACTGGTACCCAAACCTGTGTGGGTTACAGCAGTAACCTCTGTCAGCTGAAGAGGATGCTGAGGGCGTTCCTGCTGCAAGCCTCCAGCAAAGGGTGCAGGGTCCTGTGGGTGGCCCACTGCTCTGCTGAAGCCAAGGCTTCTGTGAAGCTGGGCTACAGCAGTCAGGGGTTTGGAGCAGGAATTAAAACTGTCTCATTTTAAGTAAAATACCAAACTGAAACAGCCAGCTATTTCTCTCTTTGTTGAGCTAGGCAATAGCTCTCTCCTTGAGGTTTAGTGTTAGTATTTAGGTTTTATTAGCATAAAAAGAAGTGTTAAACTTATCCTCCTGAAAGGCTTTTTTTTTTCTTTTTCTAAACTAAAATATGTAATGAGTATGGCTAATTTTCCAGTTAATTCTTAGAAGTAGAAATGGATTCCCTGCCTTTGCACACTGTCTCTTTCCCATGTTCTGTTGGATCTTTCTGCACTCCTCAGGGATTTTCCAGTCCTGAGAAGTCATGGGCTCCATACTGGCAGAGTGGAATGTAGCGTGGCTTAGAAAAAGGTAGGGAATCATGGCACAAAGAACTGATTATGCAGATTTGGTAGCTGTCATTTCTGTATTGGTGTGTGATAGGGATGTTTTGATCCAACTTAAATAATGGGACAACTTCTTTTATATGGCAGAATTCAGTCTATTATTCATTCACGAGCAGAATTTTTTGAGCCCTGCTCAGGAATACAGGGGGACAGAAGAAAGAGCTTTCTTGTACAACATGCTCTGCTCAAAGTCCCCTTCAAAACAGCTTCTTTTTTTTCACTCCTATGAAGTGAATATTTTTCCAATAGTACATAGAAATATGGTCTGTGCTGGACCATAGAGAGTGATTAGGATGACAAGAATTTGGTGTGCTGGCATCTATAAGAAGACAAAGAAATGTGTGAAGTAGTAGTTGAGATACTGACCAGGCTCAGTTCCCTTTCCTATGGTTTGCTTACATGCGGCACACTATTATGCAACATCATCTAAAATAATGGATTTTGTGGGGAGAAAAAAAATAAATAAACCAATTCCCCACCAACAAACCCAAACAAAAAACCTTTGGATGCTACCTGATTTTTTTATATGTGTGGAAAGAATGATGGTTCTGTCACTTGCACTTAACCAAACCATAGTGAAGCCATGGAATGAGAAGAAAGTACTTATTAATATTCATGACACAGGAATCATAGAATCATAGAATCATAGAATCATAGAATAGTTAGGGTGGGAAAGGACCTTAAGATCATCTAGTTCCAACCCCCCTGCCGTGGGCAGGGACACCTTACGCTCAATCATATCACCCAAGGCCTCGTCCAACCTGGCCTTGAACACTGCCGGGGATGGAGCATTCACAGCCTCCCTGGGCAACCCATTCCAGTGCCTCACCACCCTAACTTATATCCAACCTAAACCTCACCACCCCTTCTTATATCCAACCTAAACTTCCCCTGTTTAAGTTTTAACCCGTTACCCCTTGTCCTGTCACTACAGTCTCTAATGAAGAGTCCCTCCCCAGCATCCCTATAGGCCCCCTTCAGATACTGGAAGGCTGCTATGAGGTCTCCACGCAGCCTTCTCTTCTCCAGGCTGAACAGCCCCAACTTCCTCAGCCTGTCTTCATACGGGAGGTGCTCCAGTCCCCTGATCATCCTCGTGGCCCTCCTCTGGACTTGTTCGAACAGTTACACGTCCTTTTTATGTTGAGGACACCAGAACTGCACACAATACTCCAGGTGAGGTCTCACAAGAGCAGAGTAGAGGGGCAGGAGCACCTCCTTCGACCTGCTGGTCACGCTCCTTTTGATGCAGCCCAG